ATATATATATATATATATATATATATATATATATATATATATATATATATATATATGTAGCTAGCTAGCCGGCTAGGCACCTAGCTAGCTAGCCGTACGCCCAACGAACTAGCTAGTTAGCTGGCTAGCCATAACTAGCCAGCTAATTAGCTAGCTGGCTAGCTAGCTAGATAGCTAGCTAGGCAGCTAGCTACATACATACATACCAGCACCAGCAGCACCCGCCGCAGCAGCAACAGCAGCAGCAGCAGATGCACCAGCCGCAGCAACAGCAGCAGCAGCAGCAGAAGCACCAGCCGCAGCAGCAGCAGCAGCAGCAGCAGCAGCAGCAGCATATTTATTTTAATATTATATATTAAAAAACTTTTGTTGCTGTTTGTGTTTAGGTGGGGTGCATGTGCTGCGTTCGTTTGCTTTTGACTTTCACCTGAAGAGACAGAGCTGTGTCTTGGCTGTCTCCGCAGCAACACTAGCTGCGTTGCTGCCAGCAGCAGCAACACAGCAGCAGCAGCAGCAGCAGCAGCAGCAGCAGCAGCAGCAGCAGGTGTTGTGTCTGTGTAAAGGTAGCTTCGATGCTGTCTCCTCTCTCTGCTGCAGCTCCCCCCCCCCAGGCGCGCAGCAGGCTCACGATGCACTAGCAGCACAGGGGGCGTATGTCTTGGCCGTTGCCTGGAAGCTGCTGCAGCTGCCTAGCAGCCCCCAGCAGCAGCAGCAGCAGCAGCAGCAGCAGGAGCAGCAGCAGCAGCAGCAGGAGCAGCAGCAGGAGCAGGAGCAGCAGGAGCAGCAGCAGCAGACGGGTGGTGTATCAGTTGGTGGGTGCAGCAGCTGTGTTGCTGCAGCAGCAGCAGAGCTGCTGCAGCGAGAAGAGATAGAAAGAAATATGCATTTCTTGGGTTTGCTGCTGCTGACGAATGAGCTGCGGAGCGATGCAGCAGAGACAGTTCAGCTGCTGCGGGAGGGGAGAGTGAGGCCGGTGATGGTGACGGGGGATAGTATATATACTGCTGCTGCTGTTGCTAGGAGCTGCGGTATGATACCCCATACACCTCCTGCTGCTGCTGCTCCTGCTGCTGCTGCTGCTGCTGCTGCTGCTGGAGAAAATGCAGATGCAGCAGCAGCAGCAGAAGCAGAACCAGCAGCAGCAGCAGCAGCAGCAGCAGCAGCAGGAGGATGGCCGAGTGTATGCAGCAGCTCGTTGCATGCAGTGAAATACAAAAAGCCCCAAATGCCTTCGCTTGTATTGGGGTTACCAGCAGAGAGAAATAAAGAAAATAAAAAAATAAATAAAAATAAAAAAAATAAAGAAAAAGAAAAAAAAAATAAAAAATATAAAAAATATAAACGAACTGTGCGCTGGGTAGAACTGCAGACTGGCCGTGAAATACCGCAAGAAGAAATACTGGCTCACCCACAGGTTAGGGTTTAGGGTTTAGGGTTTAGGGTTTAGGGTTTAGGGTTTAGAGGGTGGGGGTTAGGGTTTAGTTTCTAGGGGCTTAGGTGGAGGGGATAAGAGTTTAGGGTTTAGGGTTTAGGGTTTAGAGATTAGGGTTTGTGGGTTTACGGGGGTGGGGCTAGAACCTAGGGTTTAGGGTTTAGGGTTTAGGGTTTAGGGTTTAGGGTTTAGGGTTTGGCTGCTGCAGCGGTGGCCGGAGCTGGCGGTGACGGAGGAGACCTTTGACATTCTCTGCAGCCAGCGGCTGTCTCCTGCTGCTGCTGCTGCTGCTGCTGCTCC